TCGGAAGCTGCAGGCGAAGACGAAGCACCCCCGCTGCCACCCTTGGCGGTCGATCGAGGAAATCGAGGAAGATGATCAGGAGGGTCGGCGAACGGAGAAGACGATGCCGGCCCCTCAGACTTCTGGTCGCAGACAATACTTCGATCGGAGATTTGGACGCAGGACCTTGACTCAAGGCGGCAGCCGGGAAAAGACCTAAAGGTCGATCAGGCGGCTTTGGAGACCCGGGCAGACTGGGCTGGAGACTCGGACTCAGAGCGTGCGCGTTTGTGGCTCGGTGCGGAAGGGAGAAAGGACGCAATGCTGGACAATCTCTCCTGCGCCTGATCCCGTTCGGCCCGTAGATCAGTGACCTCCATGAAACGCTCGCCGAGCTGGCCAAGCAATTCATCTCTTTGGACCACCAGACTGTCTCTCTCCTGCCGAAGCGTGGAGAGCGCGAGTTCACGATCCTGACGCGACTTCTGAGATTTCTCGACTTGGGTAATCCGTTTTTCCAGCCGGGCGATAGTATCGCGAGCCGCTGAGACACGATCCTCTGTGACACAAGATACGAATCCGTACGACGCCGACAAAGGTATACGGATAGTACTCAGGGGTGGCGATACGCTCTGCCCTGGCCTGATCGCGCTGAGAGATCGCCGCGCGGACACGCTGGGAAGCCTGCACGAGATCCCGATCCACTGTCGATACCCGATCTTGCAAGCGGCCAAGCTCAGCTGTATGGGTTGCGATCGTGGTATCGGCCACCCTCAAGCGACGCTCGTAGTTGTCACGCAAGGTACGGAGGTGACGGGTCTTATGCTCGACCGCGGCTCCGAGGCGATCTACCTCGGCCTGAGCCGTCTTGTGGGACGTAGCTGATTCGCGAAGCTCCGAAGCGAGAGAAGACTGGCGATCACGCGCGACTTGTAAATCGGATTGAGACCGCGCGAGCTGGGACTCCATATCCGCTATGCGACGAGCTGTATCGGGCGGAATGATCACGCCAAAGGAAGAGGCGGAGGCCAGCTGCG